CCCCCCCCCCGCCCCGCCCCGCACCATGTAGGAGGTGGGGTGGGCCTGTATGGCTTCCTGTTTTCCTGAGTGGCTTTTGACCCTGCCCTTCTCTCCTCCAGGGACCTGAAGCCGGAGAACATCTTGCTGGATGACCACGGTGGGTGGAGAGGCGAGAGGCCCAGGGTCGGGCAGGCGAGAGAGGAATTCCCAGTCCCTTAACGTGCGCCTGCTTTCTCTCTCTTCAGGCCACATTCGCATCTCTGACCTGGGGCTGGCTGTGCACGTGCCCGACGGTCAGACCATCAAGGGTCGCGTGGGGACCGTGGGCTACATGGGTAAGTTGTCTTCCTCCGGCCCAGCACACCCACTAACTACCAGATGGGGGTCTCCTGTTCAGAGAGACCTCACACAGAAAACAGACACATGGGTGCAGTTGTTACAGAAGTGTTAAGCAACCAGCTGGGCGCCAGTGGCTCACACCTGTCATCCTAGCTACTCCGGAGGCTGAGATCTGAGGATTGTGGTTCAAAGTCAGCCCAGGCAGGAAAAGTCTGTGAGACTCTGATCTCCAATGAACCACTGGAAAACTGGAAGTGGCGCTGTGGCTCAAGGGGTAGAGCGCTCGCCTTCAGCTGAAGAGCTGAGGGACAGCGCCCAGGCCCAGAGTTCAAGACCCATGACTGACCAAAAATAAAACAACAACAACAAAGAAACCAAGACCTAGCCAGGATCCACACACCAGCCTGCATTCACTAAATGCCTTTTGAAGATCTGTGATTGCCTGTGATTGGCTAGACCAGCAGGGGGCCGCCAGGGATTGGAGAAAGGAATTGAAACCTTTTTTTGTGTGTGTGTGCTTTCTGGCACTGGGGCTTGAATTCAGGCCTGGGTGCTGTCCCTTAACTCTTTTAATTGTTGTTCAAGGCTAGCAGCTACCACTTGAGCAACAGCTCCACTTCCAGCTCTTTGTTGGCTAATTGAGATACGCATCTCCAACTTCCTTGCCCGAGGTGATTATGAACCTCAGTCCTCAGATCTCACCTCCCAAGTAGCTAGGATTACTGGTGTGAGCCATCTTTTCCGTGGTTCTAACCAAGTCCTCCCCTAAGCTGCTTGTTCTGAGAGTAGGTGGGCCCTGGTGAAGTGCTGGCAGGTGGAAAGACAGACGTGATCTCATTGTGCCCTGGGGACTTTGTGACACAGTAGATGGTCTCTGCTCTAGCAAGGAACCTTTTGACTACCAAGAATCCTGTGGGTATTTGTGATATCATTTATGGGCCGTGCAGAAATTATTAAATAGGTATAGATGGGGTTGGGAGAAATGGAGAATGACGGAATGGGTGACAGTGACCAAGATGCATTGTACTCACAATCTGACTGGTTGACTTGAAACTCCTTTGTACAAGTACTTAAAATTTAAAAACATTATGAATACAGGCAGACAGTCATGGAGAGTTAATGGGAAACATCTAAGAAGCAAGTGATAGGCTGGGAAGGTGGCTCAGTGGTAGAGTGCTTGCCTTGCATGCATGAGGCCCTGAGTTCAATTCCTCAGCACCACAGACACAAAAAAAGCCGGAAATGGTGCTGTGGCTCAAGTGGTAGAATGCTACCCTTGAGCTGAAGAGCTGAGGGACAGCCCCCAGGCGCAGAGTTCAAGGCCCACAACCAACAACAACAAAACAAGAAGCAAATGACTTCAAGGTTCTCCTATCTACAGGGTCTACATGTGGCCTGCTAGGCTGTTCTGGAATACATTCCTCTCCCCTTAGCCTCTCTATATTGCGAAACACCAGAGCTACCTTTTAGCCTAGAGATAAAAGAAGATAGTCAAGTGAAGAAAACCCACCAGCTATCTTCCTGGCAGGTAGGAAGTTTCAGCCAGTAGGAGTTTTTACCACTTGGCCTTCTTTCTCTTAGAAATCTTGTGTGTAAGTGTGTGTATGCGTGCACGTGCACGTGCATGCACATGTGTGCCAAAACTGGGGCTTCAACTCAGTTACCTGGGTGCTGTCCCTGAGCTTCTTGTGCTCAAGGCTGGTGCTCTACCACTTGAGCCACAGCGCCACTTCCAACTTTTTCTGTGTATGTGATACTGAGGAATTGAACCCAAAGCTTCATGCATTCTAGGCAGGCACTCTACCACTAAGCCACATTCCCAGCCCTTTTGTGTGTGTGTGTATGTATGTGTGTGTGTGTGTGTTTACTGGTTATTTGGTGATGTATGTCTCAGACTTTTCTGCCTAAGCTAGCTTTGAATCGTGATGCTCAGATCTCAGCCTCTTGTGATGCTCAGATCTCAGCGCCCAGGCCCTATGAAGGACAAAACCAAAAACAAACCCCTAGCCCTGGGGACCGCAGGTGTGACCTCCAAGAGCTACACTGGGTCCCACAATGGGATGGGTTTTCTACTTTCTGAGGTTCCCACCCAGCCCATGACATGGGTACTTGGCCAGTGAGCGATTTCCCCATGTGCTGAGCCCCCCCCCAGGCTGGAGGGGGTCTCCCCAGCTCTGCCTCCTGTGCTCCCCCCCCAGCTCCAGAGGTGGTAAAGAACGAGCGGTACACGTTCAGCCCTGACTGGTGGGCGCTGGGCTGCCTGCTGTACGAGATGATCGCCGGCCAGTCGCCCTTCCAGCAGAGGAAGAAAAAGATCAAGCGGGAGGAGGTGGAGAGGCTGGTCAAGGAGGTGCCCGAGGAATATTCGGAGCGCTTTTCCCCGCAAGCCCGCTCGCTCTGCTCCCAGGTAGGGCCATGAGCTGCAGGCCTGACCTGCCTGGGTGGAGCTGGGCGCACGCCATCCACCTGCCCAAGACCCAAGAACCCCCCTGACCACCCCTGCCCTGCTGCAGCTCCTCAGCAAGGACCCTGCCGAGCGCCTGGGGTGTCGTGGGGGTGGCGCCCGAGAAGTGAAGGAACACCCCCTGTTCAAGAAACTGAACTTCAAGCGGCTGGGAGCGGGCATGCTGGAACCTCCCTTTAAGCCAGATGTGAGTGCTACCCCCTTGTGGTGGGCGGGGCCTGGGTGACTGGGAGGGGCCTGGGCGGTGGGAGGGGCGCTGGGGGCGGGGCCTGGGCGGTGGGAGGGGCTGTGGGCGTGGCCTGGTCGGGTGGGAGGGGCCTTGGAGTCATCTTCAGTCTTAAACCATCCCTGCAGACAGAGTAGCTCTGGGCCCAGTGTAAATCGCAGCCGGGCTCCCGTGTCTCTTGTGCCCTGCAATCAGGAGGCTGAGATTTGGGGAGGATCAAGGTTCCAGGGTAGCCCAGACCGGAAAAGTCCATGAGAACCTCATCTCCAAAAGAATTAGCAAAAAGCTGGGGCTGGAGGCCTGGCTTAAAGGGTAGAGTGCCCGCTGAGCAGGAGTTCAAGGTTCTGAATTTGAACTCTGGTACCTGTTGGGGGGGGGGGAAGGATATTCTAAATGTGTGGGAGGGGGAAGGCTGGGAAGAGATGTGAAGGATAAACAAAGCAGGAGGCTGAAATGCTTGGTCAGAAAGGGAGATCGTGGGTAGCCTGCCTTTTTTTTTTTTTCCTTTCTCTTTTTTTTAAATTTTTCCGGCCCTAGGGCTTGAACTCAGGGTCCGGGCACTGTCCTTGAGCCTATCTGTGCTCAAGGCTAGCACTCTACCACTTGAGCCACAAGACTACTTCCGGCTTTTTCTGTGTCTGTGGTACTGAGCAATCGAACCCAGGGCTTCATGCATGCTAGGCGAGCACTCGACCCCTGAGCCACCTTTCTAGCCCCGGTTGACTGCTTTCCATTCAGCAGGTCACTGTTGTAGGCCAGGCATTCCTCAACCATCAGACTCCAGCTCCAACTTCCTTAAGCTCAACATGAAGTGTATTGATTTGGATTGGCCAAAATGTCTCAGCATGGAGCCAACCTCAGCAGGTCTATTCCCTGGCTGCTGTAGCCTTTGGGTCATGTCTCCTCCCGAATCCAGGCCATAGGGAAGTTCTGATTGGCTGGGAGCAGGTCATGTGCTTGCCTCCTTCTTGGGGGTGTTGGGTGAACTGTCACTTGGGGAAGGCCTCAGATGATCACAAGTAGGTCTGGTTGAGGGCTGCATTCCACATGTGTTTGTTTGTTTGTTTGACAACTGAATACCCACATAGGGCAGAACTCGGAGATAATGAGGTCCACAGGACCCAGCGCCGTGCTTGCGTTCTATGAAGAGAACACCAAACTAAACCAATAGAATTGCAGCTAATGCTAACTCTGACAAAGAAAAATAGAGCAGGCTAAGAAAACAAGGATGGAGGGAGCCTTAGAAGTTCCAGACAGGGCGGCCTCTGGAATTGGTTAGACAGCAACTGAAAATACGTGAAAAAAAGGAGGGAGCCAGCTCCAGATTTTGGGGGTGGGGAAGGACCTGAGCATTCAGACAAGAGTCCTGGGGCAGAGCCCCATCCAGGGAGCTAGCTTCAAGGAACATGGCATTTGAGTGGCTAGGGCCAGTATGTGTAGGAAATATGGAATGCCATTCAGAGCATGACTGGGGTTCAGCAGGAACATGGGGTGGCTTAGAGCAGGTATGGATGTAAGGGGGAGTCCCTAAGGTCTCCACAGGGCATTGCCTGAATCAAGCAAGTCTGATTGTGTGAGCCTCACTTTGAGGCTGGTATTACTGCTCAAGTCTATTTCTGGATCTGTAGTTCAGACTTAGGGATCAAATCAGTGCCTGGGAGTTGGACTTTGTAGAAGCGCGAGATGAAAAGCTTCAGAACAAGAGTCACACAGCCTACAGTCTATCCATACAAAATGTACTGTTCAAGCTGGGCACCAATGGCTCAGTCCTATCTTCCCAGCTGCTGAGATCTGAGGATCACGGTTCAAAGCCAGCCCAGGCAGGAAAGTCCGTGAGACTCTTGGCACCAGTTAATTACCAAAACAAAAAACAAAAATGGCAGTGTGGCTCAAAGTGGTAGAGCCCAAAAGCTCAGGGACAGTACCCAGGTTCAAGCTTCAGGACCAGCACCAAAAAAAAAAAAATATATATATATATATATATATATATATATTTATTTATTTATATATATATATATATATAAACACACAATTCAGTGGCTTCTAGTTTACTCAAGAATTATTCAGCCAAGCACCAGTGGCTCACGCCTGTAATTCTACATACTCAGGAAGCTGAGATCTAAAGATCTCAGTTCAAAGCCAGCCCAGGCACGAAAATCAGTGAAACTCTTTATCTCCAATTAACCACCAGAAAACCAGAAGTGGCACTGTGGCTCAAAGCGGTAGAACGTTAGCTTTGAGCAGGAAAAAGAAAAGGCTCAGGGACAGTACACAGGCCCTGAGTTCAAGCCCCATGACCTCTAAAGAAAAAGAATTGTGGGCTGGGAAGGTGGCTCAGTGGTAGAGCACTTGCTTTGCATGCACGAGGCCCTGGGTTCAATTCCTCAGCACCACATAAGCAGAAAAAGCCGCAAGTGGCGCTGTGGCTCAAGTGGTAGAGCGCTAGCCTTGAGCTCAACAGCTGAGGGACAGCGCCCAGGCCCAGAGTTCAGGCCTCACAACTGACAAAACAAAAAAATTGTTTAACTGTCACTGCAATAAGTTTTAGAATGTTTTCATTAGCATTCTTTCCCCATTCTGCCCTGTTTCTGTTCCTAGCAATCACTAATCTTTCTGCCTGTACACATCCCTCGTCTGCACATTTTGTCTATGCAGATGTAATCTGCATGGTTCTTTATGACTGGCTCCTTTTAGCATATTTTTAAGGCTCATCTATGTTCTAGTATTATATTGATATTTTTCTTTAAGGCTGGATAATATTCCACTATATGGATAGTATATTTTATTTATTCATTCTTCAGTTGACACACATTAGGCATTTCCAGTTTGGGCCTATAAAACTCCTACTGTGGACTTTTGTTGTTGTTGTTGGTCGTGGGGCTTGAACTCAGGGCCTGAGCACTGTCCCTCAGCTCTTCAGCTCAAAGGTAGCGCTCTACCACTTGAGCCACAGCACCACTTCCGGCTTTTTCTGTGTATGTGGTGCTAAGGAATCGAACCCAGGGCCTTATGCATGCAAGGCAAGCGCTCTACCGCTGAGCCACCTTTAATCAGTCCTGGGGCTTGAACTCAGGTCCTCAGCACTGTCCCAGAGCTTTTTTGCTCAAGGCAAGCATTCTACCACTTTGAGCCACAGCGCTACTTCCAGTTTTCTGGTGGTTTATTGGAGATGAGTGTCTCATGGACTTTCCTGCCCAGGCTGGCTTTGAACCCCGATCCTCAGATCTCAGCCTCCTGAGGAGCTGGGATTATAGACATGAGCCACTTGCACCCAGCACCATGGTTGACTTTAGAGTACATTTTAGTACAAGTGTTAGTGTGGACAGATATAATTTCTCTTGATACCTATCAAAGCATAGAATTATGAATGCTTACCAGGTAATAGTGGCTCACACCTGTCATCCTAGCTACTCAGGAGGCAGAAATCCTGAGGATTGTGATTCGAAGCCAGCCTGGGCAGGCAAGTCCATGAGACTCTTGTTTCTGAGTAACCATTAAAAAAAAAAAGCCAGAGCCGGGCGCTGGTGGCTCACGCCTGTCATCCTAGCTACTCAGGAGGCTGAGATCTGAGGATCACGGTTCAAAGCCAGCCCGGGCAGGAGGGACCGTGAGACTCCTATCTCAAATAAACCACCAGAAAACCGGAAGTGGCACTGTAGCTCAAGTAGCAGAGCGCTTGCCTTGAGCTGAAGAGCTGAAGGACAGCGCCCAGGCCCAGAGTTCAAGCCCCACGACCGACAAAAAAAAAAAAAGCCAGAGGTGGAGCTGTGGCTCAAGTGGTAGAGCGCCAACCTTGAGAGAAATACCTAAGGGACCCAGACTCTGAGTGCAAGCCCCAGTACTGGTGCACACACATACACAACTTGTGTGTGTGTGTGTGTGTTTTGTCTCTGTGTGAGTTCGAGAGCATGCGCACATGCACGCACACACATGTGTCTCTTGTCTGACCATTGCCTCTGTCTTCTAGCCCCAGGCTATTTATTGCAAAGACGTTCTGGATATTGAACAGTTCTCCACAGTGAAAGGCGTGGAGCTGGAGCCCACCGACCAGGATTTCTACCAGAAGTTTGCCACCGGCAGTGTGCCCATTCCCTGGCAGAATGAGGTGCAGGCCTTGTACAGTGATGGCTGGGGCGGGGG